TATTTTTAAACTTTCAAGTCAGTTTTGAAGTGGGAATTGATGCATATCCAGAATTAACTGTCGATTGACTCGATGTAATAAATCAGAGGCATCACTTGATCCTCTCAGTCTCCCCTTCTCATCTTGTCTTTCTGTTTGTGGCTGTATTCAATGATCCTTAAGAATTACCTTGTTCGCCTTCAATATTTTACTTGCAAAATTCCTAGTCTTTTAATCTCGTATTGAAAATGCCATAAAGACTGTATTCTCAAAGGTCCGCTCTTAGCTGTAAACTTTTGTGTTTCTTGCACAGATAGTCCGAAATCTCATTCAAGCTGGGCACTTTGTCCATGTAGTTGCTGGTGCTCCTGAATATGTTTTTACTACTGCAACACAGTCACCCAAACTTTTCTTCCGCCAGGTATACGCGTCTTGCCTAACAGTATTGTTTTCTTTCAAGTTTGAGTATCATGTCTGCTTATGAGGAAATCAGAATGATATTTCTTTTTGTACTTTTTCTGTGACTCACAACTGCTCGCTTCCATCTCCAGGTGCTTTTGGATTCTGGAGCTGTTCAAGCTGATGCTTTAACCGTTGATCCCTTTGCATCCTTGGAAAAGGTGGGATGATCCAAACAATTTTTTTAGTGTTCCTTCTCTGGTTTCTCTGTAATCCCTGAAATTTAGTCTTCTTCTCTGGTTTTTACGGATGTAGTACGTAGAAGCAGCTGTAGTACCACGGGCTTCTATTTTGGCAACAGAAGTACAGTGGCTGATATCTATCAAAGCTGATTTAGTGGTAATCTCTTGCTCAAATAAAGTGTGATTAAATTCTTTATGCTTCTAGGGTAGTATTTCCGTCCGACTCTTCAGTTGGTGTCGATATATCGATTTGTTGATGAGAGCGTCTTCTGAATGTCCTATGTTCGTCAGCATTTTTTCGATAATCTGTTGGAAGAATTAATATCCTTTTCGTGCATTCATCTTTTGGTTGTATCTGATTCAAAAAGGTGTCAGATGTTGTCCCTGTTGCATGTCGTGCTGCTGAAGATGCAAGAATTCCTTCAGTTTGTGTTGCTAATTTCAGGTATCATGAGCAACTTGACGTTGTCTTACTGCATGTCTTATTCACCTTATAAGTTTCAAATTTATAGACTTTCTGATAGGCAACCTTCAAATGTTTATACTATCTGAGAAACCTTACCATTGGTGTTTCTCTTCCCCTCTTCTGCTTTAGTCACGTGCCTCGATGCATTATATATCCTTCTTGTTGGTCCGTCTTATTAGTAAAATAGGAAGCTTATTTAAGGTCTAATTTATGACAGTTGTTCTCTGGCAGCTGGGACTTCATCTATGCTGAGTATGTCACGGCTGCCGGTCGCGACAACCGTTCAATTGTTCGGCAGGTAATCGATATTTTTCATGTTTGTAAATTTCCAATTTCAGGATGCATCGTTTTGTTTCTTAGCAATCATTAGATATGCTTAAACCTATGCACTGAGAATACCTAGTTAAAACTAAAAAGATAAGACTTTCAGATGTTTCTTTTGTATGATCTATTTGTCCCCCCTATGAATATGGCATTATGTCTTGATATTGATGAAATGATATTTGAAAAGCACTTAGTCATTCTTTTCTGATATATAAGTTGGATGGAAAATTCCATGGTCTTTTGTTTCTTTCTAACTTAGTTTCATCAAGAACAGAAGTCGTTTGTCAGTGTGTTTATCTTCACTGCATGCATGTGCTGCCTTAGCATTGTCTAAGCCACACCAAATTCGGACTTCTAATGATCTCTTGCTTTAATTTCAATTACTTGTAGATTGCTGAAGATTATTCTCACTGCAAACTTCTGATTCGCTTGCCAGGATATTGTCCTAGTATGTTCTCTTCCAACCAACCCTAGAGTTAGGTGCTTGCTTATTAATTTTCTTGTCTATAGTATGTTAACATTTCATATTCAGATGTCGTTGCCTTATTTTAGCCAACCTTTTGATTTTCAGAATCCTTGTACATTATATTTAGCTCTCTTGCTGAGGTATTCTAAAAGGTTTCAGTTTTTCTTATTTGATATCTTGATGGCTGTTTTCTAGTGCCTGCATTCCGTGATGTCATTGATGTGCCTCTTGTTGTCAGAATGCTGCATAAATCCAGAGCAGAGGTCTGTTCTTGTACTTGCTACTTTTATATAAATCTTAGTAGCTTCTCAATCACGTTTGAACGTTGTTGTTCTGCAGATCAGGAAAGAGCTTGGAATTGCGGATGGCATGAAAGTTCTTGTCTATAATTTTGGTGGGCAGGTCAATTAGCTATGAGATTTTCTGTTGATTCATACTTCTAGTTTGCCCTTGAAAAATCTTCCTTTTCCATCTTACCAAATTTGCTCAACTTTTTGGTGAAGTTCAAGTTGAACTTTTGACAACTCCAAGCACCACTCGTCCTCTTACCATCAACGTTTTTACAAACTTCATTTCGTTTTAAAAATTATCAAGCTGGCAGCCCATTGCTGGGAGGCATTTCTCTTTAAAAAGTATGGATTTGCAAGTTGGACTAAATGTAAAGAGTTATTTATTAAACTAGGATGACTGGAATATTGTGCTTATTAAGATGTTGACATATCATTCTTTCTTGTGTCCAGCTATCTGGATGGAATCTACGAGAAGAATACCTTCCTTCAGGATGGATTTGCCTGGTAATTTTTATACGCATCTTCCATTTCTTTATTCTATCTGGTTCAACATTGCATTTGCAGCTTGTTATTCCTGAGTAATTTCTCTTTACATTGGTAGGTTTGTGGAGCTTCTGAACGCCAAGAGCTTCCACGGAATTTTGTGAAGCTTCCCAGAAATGTTTATACACCAGATGTCGTTGCTGCTGCAGACTGCATGCTTGGTAACTAATACAAGAACTAAAAATGGTTATGATCTATGTCTGGGTGCATTTCTGATCACCAAACTTTTCCTTATTTCAAGGTAAAATTGGATATGGCACTGTAAGTGAGGCTTTAGCATATGGAATTCCATTCATTTTTGTAAAGAGAGACTACTTTAACGAAGAACCATTCTTGAGGCATATGCTTGAGGTACTACATTTTGCTTGCCTGATCTTTAGTAGCGTTGTACAAAATGGGAAAAGAATTTCACGTTGAAGAATATATATGTTCTGTTGAAACAGCAATTTCAGTGTGGTGTTGAGATGACTCGGAGGGACTTACTAAAAGGGAATTGGGAACCTTATCTGATCATTGCTATTGCTTTGAAACCCTTCTATGAAGGAGGTATCAATGGTGCTGAGGTATGTTCTTTCTCTCTCTTTGCCGTGTTCGTTTTTGCCCTGCAACACCCTCAGGTGCTGTCTGGTAATATATATTCCTGTAAGAAACTGTTAAGTTCTTTAGCCAAATTATTTCTGTCAGGCTTTGTTATGTCATTTAATAACAGCATGTACACTAAATATTCATTTAGTAATAAGCTGTAGAAAATGGCTTTCTGATGAACAAAATCCATTCTGCAAGTTTCCGACAGATGTCCAAATCCGTAAACCTAATTGGCCTTTCCTCATTGCTACCACTGCTAGCTAGTAGTTTTAAAGTTCCTGGAAAATAAATTTGAGATGCAATAATTCGAGTGAACGTCAACGAAATAAACCTGGATTAGGGGGAAAAGAAGGGTAAAAACATATGGTATAAAGAATCGTGATGGTGGAATTAAACGATAGAGAAGATCTAGAAGAGCATGGAATAAAACTAACGGAAAATAGGGGAACTAGCGCTTCCTTAATTGAAAGTATGCGGTATGATAGTACTTGATGGTGAAAAATGACCATATAGGGAAACCACATTGGGATAAAATCTTTCTTTTGAAGGTTGTACCTTTGATATTTCAGCTTGAAATTTCTTTTCCTTTGTGCCATTTCAAAAACTTGGATTGTGATCTCTTGCGGGCTGCATTGCTGTTTATGTAGGTGGCTGCTAGGATTCTACAAGATACAGCTCTCGGAAAGAGTCATTCTTCAATAACGTCTGTGCCGATGCATTAGCGAAAGAGGCTCAAACTCCATGATTTGTTTTTCTTGAACATTGTATCTGTATGTGTATCAAGCAAGCTTTGATGATAATTGAGATCAATCACGGTACGTACAATTTTTTTTTATTTTTCTTTTTGGAAATTTGGAAATGTTAATCGTATATGTAATCTTTTATCAAACAAACTTGATGATATCCATCTGATTTAATTTTGATAGAGTTAATTTCGTACCAAGTGAATTGTCGTTTAATGACAAGTTGAAGACAAAGACTTATGGGCTGGGTGGACAGACAGACGGCTTACCGTCAATCATTATTTGTCAAATTGGACAAAGACATGTACAATGTGAATCTCGCCATTCAGGCAACATATATACCGTGACAACACTTCCATAAGTTTTAGTTACTGCTTCACCGATCAACATTATTAATAGTATGCATTTGTCGGGATAATAATTGTGGATTGAATGAGTGATAGACTAGGCTATCGTGTGAAAAATTGACACCACTAGCTACACCATATATAGTATGTATTAACTTTATTAAAAAAAAAAAAATCTACATTCAACTTTCACATCTGTACTGTTTTAAGTAAAAATTTCTAGATTCAATGTGAATTTTTTTTATTATTATTATTATTTTTGGGACGTAGGATATGACCATTTGCATTATGATTTGTAACAAACAAAGCTTCAAAGAAAATCAATCATAAAAGAGTTCATTGTTCAAAAATAGGAGTAGTGCTTTACTGCGATGGAGCCTCTTGCGACAAATGGAGTTAACAACAATATCAATGAATTCCATGATCGAGAGGAGAAACAAAACCAGCAACATTTCTCTCACGCAATGCAGTTGGTTACTTCCATATCACTTCCGATGGTGTTGATGTCCGCCGTCCGGCTAAACTTGTTCGAAATCATCGCCGGATCCGGCTCCGGTGCCCAACTCTCGAGCTCCCAAATCGCTGACCATTTAAGCAAAAGTCATCAAAACATGAGCAACCCGAATGCTGCTTCCATGTTAGATCGGATGCTCCGCCTCCTTGCTAGCCACTCCGTGCTGACGTGTTCCTCCGTGGACGGTGGTGGTGATGGCGGTAGTCAAAGAGTCTACGGGTTGGCGCCGGCGGCAGAGTACTTTGTCCGGAACAAGCAAGGAGTTTCTTTAGGGCCATTACTGGACTTGATTCAAGACAAAGTTTTCATCCAAAGTTGGTAAGCCACCATTTCTTAATTTTTATGAATTAGTTTTGGAAATTGGAGTATATTATGTGTGAAAGTGAGTTTTGCAAATCAATCAACCTTTTGTTTCAAAATAAGACTCTTCTTATACTACGTCTTTGCTAATAAATAGTTCAAATTGAGTTTTTGACATTCATACTAAAATCATTACAAATTTTAAACTTCATTGTATACTTTTTTTTTGGGGACAGGGATTAACATTTATGATTAGCACGAAAGTATTTTATATAGAGATAGAAGGAGCTAGCCTAAAAGTAAAACTTTACTCCTTTGGTTAATTAACATCAAATTTATGAATAAGATGATTATTTGCTACTTTATTCTTGAGAGATACATTACATAGATGATTTGAGGAAATGATGTGTCAAATTAAAAGAGACACCGTAGAGTAAATGGTTTAAGGATGAGTGGATGCATTCAAGACCACATAAAGTCCAGCTATATAGCTTTTGTATAATTGAGTCAAAGTGTAACTTTACTTTCTATTTCAATATTTGATGTGAGTTTACAGTTGGCAATAATTAATTTCCCTTTTGAATAATAGGTGCCTTAGTTTAGCTACAATTTTGATAAAATTTATCTTGTTTTCAATTTTTGGGGCATTCAATTTTGTTATTCGCCAAAATAATTGTTTGTTTTGGATTTCGGTTCTAATAAAAATAGTACAAACATCTAACTAGAGTGATTATCTTGAAATAGAAAGAGTATTATGTTTAAGCTAACATAGAGTTTGAATTTTTATTTTTTTTAAATTTTTTTTTTTTGTTTTTTTAATAAGGTACGGGCTAGAAGATGCACTGATTGAAGGAGGAGTTCCTTTCGACAGAATTTATGGTTTACATGCCTTTGACTATCCTGGAACCGATCCCAGATTCAATGAGGTTTTCAATAAAGCTATGATAAATCATACAACAATTGTAATAGACAAAATTCTTGAGGTCTACAATGGTTTTGAGGACCTCAGGACCTTGGTAGATGTTGGTGGAGGACTTGGAGTTGCTCTAAATAGAATTGTACATAAATGGCCAGCTCTGAAGGGTATCAATTTTGATCAGCCACATGTCATACAACATGCCCCAGCCTATCCTGGTATCAACTATATGCATGACATCTTTAATTACTCTCAAGTGCTCTCCTGTCCTTATTATAAGGCATTTTGATTTCGTCCTAATTTTCATTTAGGGTGTATTTTTAATTAGAATAAAAATTTTAAAAATATTTCATAATAGTTAGGAGAATACAACGAATGTGAAAATATATTTTTAAGTTTTCTTTTCTAATTAAAAAGACATCTTAAGTTAAATTTAATATACGAAATCAAAATGATTTATAATAAAGAGTGGAGGGAGTATTTGCTTGTCTAGTTTCATTTGTTTCACATACAATTTAGATTAGAAATAGATCAATAAAATGAGAAACAGTAGCGAAACTAATATCGTTATGTTGGTTGTTCTGAATGATACTCCTCTGTCGTATGCGATTATTTTGGAGATGAAATAAAAGATTCTAAATAATAGTTTTGGGGAAAAAGAAAAAAAAAATCGCAATCTATTGCTGTTCACTTCTATCATTTTTATGCGTGCATATGAAATTGAATATATGTAGGAGTGGAACATGTTGCTGGAGATATGTTTGAAAGTGTTCCAAATGGAGATGCTATCTTTATGAAGGTAATGTAGTCCTTTTACTTTTTCTATTTCACTGCGTGTATCCTAAGTTGATGTGAACTATTCATACTGATATTTGTGCACCTAAGAAAAGGTATATTTTTTTCGGTCTTTTAAATTTTTTTTTTTCTCCATTCCAGTTTAATAATTTTCCTTCATTGTACATAATAGTGCTCCCTCCGTCCTAAAATTATTGTTCAGTTTGAGGTTTTCTTTTTAGTTTAAAATGTATTAAAAGTGAAATCTCAAACTGGACAATAATTTTGGAATGGAAGGAGTATTATTTTAGTTAGGCAAAATAGAGAAAGCAGAATATTCATAAAATGAAACGAAGGGAATATAAAATAATGCAGGATGTTTCTAAGGCGTATTCCCTCCGTTGGTCTTTAGATTTCATTAGCAATGCCGATTGGATGTAATGGGAAAAAAAAAAAAAAAGGGACTTTCTAGAACTAGGAGACCAAACTCTCTCTCTTTTTCATAAGCACCGAATGCATGATATGACATCTTTTAATTAATCCTGTCCTCCGAAATAGGTCAAGGAGACGACTAATGTTGTATGGTAAAAATTTTACTGCTACTAACTTATATAAAGTTTTATTGCACAACAATGGCAGTGGATACTTCACGATTGGGACGATGATCACTGCTTGAAACTATTAAAGAATTGTTACAAGGCACTACCAGAAAATGGTAAAGTGATAGCTGTGGATGCACTTCTACCTATGAATAATCTTGATACTAGTACGAGTACACAAACAACTTGCCAATTGGATTTGATAATGTTGACTCAAAATCCAGGAGGAAAAGAGAGAAACAAAGAGGAGTTTCTCACTTTGGCTTTGGAAGCTGGATTTCAAGGTGTAAAGTTAGAATGCTTTGTGTGTAATTTGTGGGTCATGGAATTCTATAAGTAAAATATAAGAATAGGCTTTCATGTTTGACGGCTTGTTATCTTGTATTTGATCGATACACATGTTTCCTTTCTAAATTTACAACTTAGACCAGATTGGCACTTGACTCTCTTATGCACAGTTATTTCCGATATCAAAATGGTATTTTCGACATTTTATTTTATTAATTTATTTTATTGAATTAAAACGAAGAAAATGATAATATATAGTGTACATACAGTGAAAATAAATAATAACTGAGTTGACTTCCTATTTTATTAGACGTATTAGTCATTATTCCTTTTCATTGGTTATATCATTGCTGCTAAAATAATGTAATAAAGACTACAATTAAATTAAATCAGACCATGGAAGTTACTGAAAAGTTCATGGTGGTAGGCGGCATATATAGAGTGATAACGTAAGATCCAGGATGAAAAGATATACAGACAAGAGTTTCTTGCATCGGTGGCTATAGAAGCTGGATTTCAAGGTGTCAAAGTGGACAACTGCGGCGGCAAGAAAGATAATGAAGAATTTATGAGGAAATTGTGGAAAAGGATCGGATGCTGGAAGATGACATTTTGAGAATTTTGCAAGTCAATGTATTGTATACCTACCAAGAGTTAGAATTTGAATGTGGAAGTGAACATCTATATAGTTATTCAGGTGAATCAAAATACTGGACATTTATTTATTGTGGCGGAAAGGGTATAAACACAATAAATCAGCGAAAACGATTCCAAGAAGAACTCCTTTCCTACTACCAATAAAATAGGACAACCAAGCAAACAAGCAAATAATTCAAGAATTGATAAAGTAAAATAGACACACGAATTTACGTGGAAACCCAAATCGGGAAAAACCACGGAACTGTAACCACCGTCAAATCTCCACTATCACAATAATGGGAAACAATCTTCACCAACCGGTGGATACACAGGACTTCACCCAATAGCGGATTACAACAATACTCTTCCACAAACACCTAAACCACAAAGTAGGATTGGAAGGATCTAACCAAAAGAGAGTTAAACCGAAAACTAAACTCTATCTTTCTTTCTTTTTCTCTCGCACAAAACCCTTGCGCGGCTGCCCTAATTTTTTTTCTCTCTTGGTTGAAAACACATGCACAAATCGTGCACAAAGCCTTGCTTTTATAAGCATAAAAAACAATACCCAAAACCCAATAGAAGTGGGTTTTCTTTTCTCGGTCAAACACCCCAAAACCAAAGCCTAGTTAGGCTTGGTTTTATTTTTCTTTGTTGTTGCTGGCCCAATTGAGGGGAACGACCAGCCCAAAAATCTCCCCCTTCATCTCAATTGGGAGGTAAAACCAAACCGGCTTCCTCTGCAAAACAGGAGCTTGTCTCTACTCACAGTCTTCGTCAACATATCGGCACCGTTGTCATCTATATGAATCTTTTCAAGAAACAATGCCTTGGACTCCAATACATCCCGAATCCAATGATATCTCACATCAATATCTTTAGACCGCGAATGGAATGTGGAATTTTTCGCCAAGTGAATAGCGCTCTGGCTATCACAATACACCACATACCTCTCTTGCTTCATGCCAAGCTCTTGTAGAAACTTCTGCAACCAAAGTGCTTCTTTACAAGATTCAGTAGTTGCGATAAACTCTGCCTCTGTAGTAGACAAAGCAATACACTTCTGCAACCTACTCTGCCATGAAACTGTTCCTCCTCCATAAGTCATCAAGTATCCAGAAATAGACTTCCGAGCATCAAGGTCACCCGCCATGTCAGCATCTGTATATCCATCCAACATGGTCTTCCCATTGCCAAAGCAAAGACTCAATTTGGAAGTACCCCTAAGATACCTGAGAATCCATTTCACAGCATTCCAATGCTCCTTACCAGGATTGGAGAGAAACCGACTAACAACACCAACTGCATGAGTTATATCTGGCCTTGTGCAAACCATCGCATACATCAGGTTGCCAACTGCTAAAGCATAAGGAACCTTTTTCATCTCTTCTTTATCTATCTCACTTTTAGGACACTGCATTTTGCTTAGCTTAAAATGCCTCGCAAGTGGAGTCGAGACTTCTTTAGCACCGCTCATATTAAATCTATCAAGAACCTTCTCGATATACTTCTCTTGAGATACCCAAGTCTTCTCATTCTGTCTGTCACGAGAAATCTTCATCCCAAGGATCCGTCTAGCCGGACCCAAATCCTTCATCGCAAAGGATTTATTCAACTCCTTTTTCAATCTAACAATCATTGCAGTATCATGACCAACAATCAACATGTCATCGACATAAAGCAAAAGAATTATAAAATCACCA